ATATATGGCATACAATATCACGGTAAATATACCAGTAATATGACAACAAACTGAATTAAAGACTGTAAACATTAATAAGCTGCGAAGCGCCTAAATGATCTTTAAGACATACTGAATAAGCGGCGCAAACGTGATTAAAAGGACTTAAAGAAGTTATGCGTTAATAAACACTGTAACATTATCAGCAGAGTAATAATATGAAAAACTGTTTTGTGTTTCTAAGAAGAAGCGTTCTGGGTACGGTAAAACTATCAACAGCCACAGAATAAGCATCACAAAATGGTCGCTCAAGTATGTAGCAAAAATAATAGTGATAATCGTAGCTATTAGTTTTTACTCGGAAGAAAGAGCTTCTGCAGACCAAGGCCTTCTATCGAATTCTGCGCTTCGAACTATATCGAAATGCGTGAGGTCATAGAAAAAGAAGCCTTGAAGAAGCCTGTCACTCATAGAAAAAGCCTTGCACCGGGATCATCGATTTTCGCTATGGCCCACGACTCATGATCGTAGATGAGCATCGGGAGGTGGATCGACTTGAACACTGAGAGCTAAATCAGACTCAGCCAGTCTTTAGTCCCAATGGTTCGGGCTAGTTCACTAGTTCAAAGAACGCTACTGCCTATTCCAATCCGCCGGTCGACCTTTCCTTCCATTTTCTGTCACCAGCAAACACGCCTCCGCAGTATTTCAACTTCTCCTGCTCTTTTGCTTCTCTGTTTGTCTGAAGATAGTCAGGAGAATGAAACAGCAGAAGGCTTTTCGCATTAGATACGTCCACACGCATGCCGACCACTTAACAATCGGCTGAGAACCTTTCCAGATAGCGCTGCAGATCAGTTTAAGTAGATGCCAACAAAACCAGGTCGTCTGCAAATATCAACCTTCTCGTATTGACATTTCCTTCACTGAAACAATCATCGTCCTGGCTGCGCCTGACTATTCAATCCGTATACAAAACGAACAGGAGACGGGACAAAATTTAGCCTTCGTAGAGGCCACCGCTAACGCTAAAAGACTTCGACTTAACGCCATTTACTCTGGCGTAGCACCTGCCATTCGGCACATAGTGATTGGCTAACCCGTAGCAACAGGTCATCGATCCCATTTGTTTGCAGGCATGACAATAGGTTGTCGGGCACGATCCAGTCTGAGGCTTTATCTAGGTCCATACGAAACATATACACCGGATGGGCCAACTCCCACGATTTTTCAATAATCTGGCTTAGGGCGAAAATCGAGTCAGATCTCCTTCGGCCAAATAGGAAGCCATACTGCTCATGTTTTGAAGTCATTTATTCCGTCGCTTCTCCTGTCTAGCTTTTTTTCATAGACTTTATCTGAGAGGCTTGATACGGTAATGTCATAATAACTGAAGCACTCCCTTTAGTCTCTCTTCTTGAACTCGGCTACTATAACCCACGTTACTGGTATTCCCGTAGTCACTGAAGTTTGAAAGACACGTGTAAGCCAGCACATGCACTGTTCGCCTAATGTTTTGTAAGCATTTCAGGGCAGGTTCCATCGATTCCAACAGCCATTCCACTTTTCATAGTTTGTGTGAATTCATTTACAGAGATGCTTATACTTGTTTTGTGCTGCTATTCAGATGAGTCTTTTTGCGGTTGCTCGGAGTTTAGGAGCTCTCCAGAGTACTCTCCATCGCTGATCGATGTTGTCATCCTCGATATGAAAGTTCTAATCTTTGTTTTTCAAGAGTCTTACACTGCCCACTGTCCTTCTTTTCACCTCAGAGGGGGCGGACTGTCTTCCAGTTTACTTTATTTGCCGTAAGGAAATTCGAACACCTTACCGCAATTCTTCCAGACTCAGCTCTGGTTTTCGCTGCGATCTTGCGCGCTTATATATACCATATGTGAATTGAAAGCTCTTTGCTTCACGCCATCTCTTGAACGCAGCCTTCATGTTATTGACTGCCAGATGAACCTCTCGCTTCTACCAAAACGTTCGTTTCTAACCTCCAGGCGGTTGGTTAACCTATCTAATTCCGGAAAGTTCTTCCGCAGCTACGAGTACGACGCTACTGTAACGAGCATGCACTCGGATTCCAGACTGGCGGTCATTACTGGTCTATTCAAGCCGTTGTGCGATGTTGTTTGCAAGCTTCGCTCTCGTACGCGCTGAAGATGATGTTTCCCATTTGATTCTCTGGTTGCCTCTGTCACAAGATCTTCGCCTGGTGCACCATTTTTTACAGCATCGCGTGCCGACAACAAGGTGGTGATCGGTTGACAGCTCTGAGCCTCTCGTTATAAAACAATTACAGAGCGGCGTCATAAGACAGACCATGCGATTATGAAATCGATCATCGACATCTATGCGTAAGCTTGCCTGTACTAGGTATACTGATGAACGCTTAGATGCTCGAAGAAAGTATTAATAATGAACAGTTCGCTGTTTGCACAAAACCGCAACAATTTTATGCCACTATTGTTGAATTCACTAAGGCTGTTCCTTTTGATCACGCCCTTCCACTTTTCAGCGTCTACTCCGTAGATCTGCGCATTAAAATCGACCACAGACTCCGTATGTGACACTTCGTGCGGGACACACTCCAATTTTTCTCAAGGAAGGAGTCATTCTCCCCTCAAATTGCCCGCACAGACCTGTAACAAGATCAACGCTTTAGCGTGGTGCAGCTTCAGTTGGAGGACTGCCACCCTTCCGCTGATATGCTTCCATTCAATGGTTGTCAGACAAGCTGGATTCTATCAGAACACCAACATCGGTGTGAGCGCACGTCGTGACGTCGACATCTCAGTAGAAGAGCTTCCACCCGCAGATGTTCAGAATTACATAACATTGGCGTTTCGTTGACTAGAGTCAACTTATATCGAGTTGGCGCCTTGTAGTTTCATGATCTAGTTGATGCTCATTCTCTCTGAGTGAGAGGATGTTCCGATTTCCGACTGTTATTTTCCACTATGAAGCAGCTGGATCAGGTGAACTTCATGTGGAACTGTCGAAAAATATACCACATACAGGATCACAGATGATGTCGAACATCATTCATAAGATTTGGCGAACAGAGACAATGCCGGAAGGGCGGCGCCAAGAAGTGATTATTCTGATACATGAAAAAGATGTCGAGGATATCCGAAATTACAGAAGAGTCAGTTTCCTCTGCGAGGCAGTGAAGGTCATTCAAAGAATTTTCGTCAGCAGAATTCGAACCCACAGAGAGAATGCTACCAGAAAAGCACAATGTGACATTCGTTCGGGATGATCGACTACATTTTAACATTGCGCCTTTTGCTGGAAACATACGGCCGATACCTCAAACCACTGTTCATTGGGTTCGTCGGCTTTGACGCAGCCTTCGATTCTCCAGACGGCGAAACCCCGTAAGAGTTATTAAGAAATGACGGTGTATAAGACAAACGTTGTTAACATCTTGAAAAACGGTTACACCAAAAACGGCAGTGCTCTGAGACAGCTTTCCGACTGATATCAGAGTACGGCAAGGATACGTCACCGGACCTATGTTATTCAACTGTAGCATTGATGCCGTGATGACAGAGGCAGTTACAAACCTTGACAGTGAAGTGACACTCCAACCTACGGGACACCGTTTTTAAGATGTGGATCATGCTGACGACGTTGCGGTCCTTGCAACGAACCCGTAAGAACTTCAAAAGGCGTTGACGGTAGTAGAAACAGCTGGTACTAACTACAGGAGACTGAAACCACTAATATGCAAGGTCCTTGTTTCACGGTATGCCCCAGAAAATGTCAACACGGTGAAAATTTGCGGGGAAGATGTGCAGTACGTCACCAGGTTCTGCTGCCTTGGACTGATGACCATTAATGATGGAAGTTGTGAAGATGTTCAGGAAAGTATCAGAAAAGCTCGAATCGCATATAACATGTTTGGGTAAAATCTATGGAAAATTTTTGTCAGTACATCAGTAAAATTCCGCGTATATCTTACAGCTATTCGAATGCTCTTAAAGTATTTGAACTCTCGTGTTGGCGCCAAACTCAGGCTATAAACTGTTTGATAATATCAAACATAGAAATGCTGGAGAACGATAGAACAAGTAAGAGGGATTTTGGCGGGCAGGGAATAACATCAAACTACCTCTGAGAAATGTAAGCACCTAACTCTTGCTTCTCGGCTACCCACCATGACGTAAAGGCAAGCGTTTGATCAGTGTCTTAATTCGTAGTGTCCCGAGCTCATCTTGGAGAGTATCCAGAGGCTAGCCGACAACTTAATGTCTTGAATAATATCATAGACGAACTGTCGCATGCGCAGACACAGATCACTACTACCGGCAAAATGTGCACAGATCCAGTTGTTTTCATACCTGATACTGCCTAGGACAGAATACAATGGCGAATGGTGACAAGAAGCGTGTGAATGCTGTAGCCCTTTGCTATATCCACTTCTGTATCTCTCTACACTACGCAATATTTCAGGTTTCCAAGAATGTATTAAATTTTACCATGTACTTCAGGTGCCCAGAGATTCTCGCGTTTCTTTATAGGCAGGAGAAATGGTGAGGTTCAAGGTGCATCTGCAAATTGCTTGTTTGAGGAGCGGTGACTTGTTTAAATGACATCCTACATATCTTAGAATGTAGTTGCGATGCCACGATTATATTCTGTTTGCAACTCTATTGCGAACGTCTCGAAGAAGGAAAGCGAAGCAACTACTACTTGCCTAGCCGATCGTCAGAAAACTCAGGCGACGGTCAAGAGTAACCTGGTGCAAGTTTATTGAAAGAGTGTTCACTTGACTCTAGTTGTCTTCTGCCGAAGCTGAGACGCTGAGGATCGGGAACGTTGCAAGGACTGTCTGAGGTGTCTGCATGCAAGACCAGAAAGGAGAAGCTCTAGCAGAAAATGAATGACTGAATGAAGTAACAATATGCAATAGACTGAAACAAGTGAAGACATCTCAGAGTGGAGATAAATAGAACGAAGAGAACAACCAGCATGCAGAATAGACCCAGCTATTTGATAACTGTGCAGAAACGATCATTTAACGGAGGACGAGCTATTATTATACGCTGTCTAAATTTTCGAAACGCAATAATGCAAAACAAAGTCAAGTAATGCACAAGAGCAAAAAACCAGACAGAGGACCAACTATGCAAGTCGTATCGGTAGAAGGTGAATAAAGCGGTGTTCAGAGAAAAGAGCGGTAAAAACACGAGCCTAGCGAACGAATACGTTTCAATAAATCACAGTTACCTTTGGATTGTGAAGTGGAAGGCTCAGGCTTCATCGTATCTTGAATTGTTCGAACTTGATCTGAAAAATTCATATGAGTAATGGCGACACGCGTTAGATTCGAAGCATTAGCCCACCCGCACTACTTTTTGCCGGCAGTGCTTCAGAGCCTTCCTCATTTCCGTGAATGGGCTGTTTCGTATCTGTAATGACTCTAAACGAATACGATCAAACATCAACTTTTGCCCTCGTGATCACATTGGATTAATTTTATCTTTCACTACGTTTCAAGAATGTTTATTTGTCGCTAATAGGTATCATCAGCAAACCACTTAAAACCTCCAAGGGCAATTAAAAAAAGTGTTTATAACGCTTAGTGATAGAAATGGAATCCTTAAACAATAGGGAAACAGAGATACGCAAATGGATGGAAAAGAAATTTGTTTTATTGACATGCCATATCTTTTTAAATGTTCTGACACAAAACTAGATACTGACTTAAGATAGCCATCTTACTCAAATTCTTCGCATTCCAGGGACAGGCGAGATGGCTGCGGTTGATCACTGGCAGCGGTGCTGCTCGATGCAGCCTCTGTACCATCTACAGGTAACACTATCAGAAATACGTCAAAACGCCGAGCTCAGTAGCATGCGCACCGTGTTCCCCAAAGTCAGACGATGAGCTGCCGGTGATTCGAGGCTTGGAATCGGCCACTGAGGCTGAGATTAATTTCGGAAGGTGAACTGATGCCGCCATGCTGCCATTAGATCGGCGGATCAGCGGTCGCGAACGCTTTGCGATGCTTCTTTCGCTGCTACACTGAACATTATGACCTGTCGCCACTGGCATCTGTCGACGTATTTCAGCCTCTGCATCAACGATTTTTGGTTCTGCAATATAGCCACTGATTTAAGTTACTTGTAGTAAAAAAAATGGACAGACAAACATGCACCAAACCAGAAGGACGGCTGTTAATTTGCGGTTAGTGTTCAAACAGGAAACAACGTTAAGCAAGTCGTGACAGTTCCAAACAATGACAACAGAAAATTTGCCTCCACCCGCACCCTGCAAGCGGAAGGGACTATACGGATGGTGGCACGTTCTTGATGAGAATTTGAATCTATCGTGGGAGGCAGCCGTTATGTTAGTGCACACAATGACCACTTTGCTCATTTTGAACGAGAATAATGTAATTCGAATTTACAGTTTGAATTAAAATATCAATTCCCTACATGTTTTAAGACATTCCCTCACAAGTTGCAGTTCAATGATCGCTGCCAACAATTATTCACGATACCATTTTTAATTCCTCATCCAAAGTCATTTATTAGAAACAACTGCATATAGAGGGTGACTAGTCTTTGACAATCTTGATAAAAAATCAAGAATCACTGTCTGACAGTGGCTACAATTCATCTGACGGCGAAGTCATGAGAATTTAGTACTGATAGAAACTATGCCCTTAAAATTATAAACTGTCTACCGCGATAGCTAGCACATTACGACTTTTGCATACAGCCTAAAATCGTGGCGTCGGCAAAGAATAAGTTGCGTCTGATGAAACTGGAGGAGATATGAATTAAAACCAATCACCTACCAAGCATAAACCTCCATGGATCACAGAATTACGACAACATGAGTCAATTTAAGACTCATTTTAACTAAAATGAAAAAGGGAACGAAATCTGGATATTTAAATGATTTTAATTATAAACGACTTCCTGTTTGACATTTCACTTTTCTTGTAGCCATTCGACATGACACTGTATTCATATTACAGAAGCGTCATTTTAACAAGATTACGCTTCTAAACTTAGTCTTGGGGAACGACGACCACAGTATATCAGACATGGTTTGATAGGTTGCACTATGCAACTGCGGTTTCTCCCGATATCATAGCGAACCAGGCCAAGACTTGGTAGGCCTATACGAGCATACTACTTCGTTAGCGTTTCATGTAATCAGTTTCCAGCTAACCGCAAAGAAGGAAAGTTCCAGCGACAGCTTTACTGCAAGGAAAATGGAGGCAAACCATGTCCGTAGTCTCGCTACATAACCACGCAGGGCGGTTCTGTGGAAACCGATCATAGCGGATTGGGGAGATTCAATAAGTTCAACAACGCGGCGCTTGATTTCGAAGCAACTATGTAATCGGCGATGCACGAAAGGAAAATAACAACGAATCGGGATCAACTCCTAGTAGTCCGTTACAAACGGCTCTCTTGTAAAAGCTGATAGCTATATTAAGCAATAACAAAAACGTACAGTAATGGGAAGCATCAGATGTGCAAAATCCACCACTGCCAACCTGGTATGCAACGCGTTGGTATGCACACAACTGTTGAACGTCGCGGTCATTCGAGTAATGACATTACGAGATATCAGCCAAATGACCAAAAGGTTCCCCTGTCGCCATCCGTTACAGTTAAGCGGTTTGCTACAAACAGTTCCCAGAAAAGCTTGCCCCAGGACTCGAGAAGCCGAAAAATTGTTTTCAAACTCATGTACAAAAGTATTAACATAGAAACTTGAAAAAGAATCACGAATGCAAACTAGCGTCATTAATGTAGGAGTCAAAAGCCCAACAAAAATTAAAAGACATCAAAGAAACGATCGTACGCGACATAGTGCTGCCCTGGAAACAATTCTCCTGCTCGGTGCTTTCAGGCTCAGTGTCATCGCGCCGTTGAAAAACTTCTTCAGTACACATCACACCGCTACTGTCATTGTCATCTAAACTCGAATTTACAACCGCTTGGCTGGCTGAAAGCAAACGAAACATTAGATGATCGATGCTTATGCATTTTTACCTGAAGAATGATCTTCGCCTCCTGAGCCTGAACGAAATATTACGGATGCGGACGTTCCTTGATCGCCACTAGTGGTAACCTGTTCGGAGGAATTCAGGCAACGGCGTTTTGCATCTCTATAAAATATCAGGAACTTATCCGCAGAATAAGCACCATAGATCGTGGACATGCTACCGCTGCAATCATTCAATACACTGGCTGCCGGATTGCAATACCATACGAAAGAAAACGAAAACCCGGTCATTTAAAAGTTGCCTCAACTTTGGACAATCCACGATGGAACAGTCATGGCCTGAGCTCTACTTTTCAGCATGGAAGATCCTGCCAAAAGCAACATTTAATGCTGAAACTAACACTGTTGTCAGGCACGCTAAAGTCCTCTCATTCCTAGGTATGAAAATTGAGGGGCACATGGCTCTGACATACTGACAAGTTGATACCAGACTAAAGTGATAAAGTCGGTAATAACGGAAAAGCGGAAAAAGGTGTGGTGGCTTTATCAGCTTCTCAAGTATGAAAAGAAGCAGCCATTTAATTTAACTAAAACAGAAACATAACTAAGAAAACTGCACATATGATAGGTCTAAAAATGACTGATGGCCAAGTACCTCAAAACAACGTCGTGTTCTTCAAGTCAGCCAGCATCAAAAGAACAACAGCATTAACAAGAGCTAACGGTCACAATTTGGCGAGCATGATGCACACGAAAACAAATGAACTGGTTACTCAGCATCCACGGCGCGAAGTCGTAGTTTCCTCCTGGTGTTTGATGCTGTCGTCGTTTCACTGCTGGTAATATCGTCGCTTCTGTCGTCACAACTGCCACTGACGAAGTCTAAAAAATAAAACAGACATCAAGATAGGTAAAGCTTATGTATGTTTATAAAGTTCCCCGGAATGTAATACGTCGGTTTCATCGCATCGCTAAGCAACCCCTTGAATCTATGCTCTTGCACGGTCTACTGCTGGTTTAAATTTACGCCAAGAGGTTAAGGCTACGGCTGAGCCTATATATATATATATATATTCTCACCTTGAGCTTCGGTATGTGAAATGACAACCACTCGGCGAAGCTTCGATGGTGGCTGCTGCTGACTGCTACTTGATATGGAAGAGGTAGCTTGCATGGAGATGGACGTTGCTATGGCAAGACCTAAATCACATTAGTCAGGCGGTTTTCGGCAGAAACGTAAATGTCACCAGTTTGGCCGCTTTGGTCAGGTACGCTGCTATCGCTGTGGATCTGCGCAGTACCGGCGGATGATAGCGGTTTGACGCTGACAACGGTTAGCGGAGGGCGCGACAAAGGCCTTTTCGAAATAAGTCTACGCGGTTGCTGCGCCAAATTCAAAGACCTGACAGGAAACATCGTAAGCAAAAAAGTAAAACAAATGCATGGTTATCATTTGTTACCTACTGACGGAGGTAGCGAGGGTAGCGGCAGGCATTGCGGGGACGAGCTGCACAGGGGTCGCGTTAGAGACAGATGAAACCTAAAGACAACGAGTGCAGATAAACCGTGAGAAACTGGAGCCAGACTATGAGCAAGTACTTTACCTTAAGTTCACGATGTTGTGTCTCGAACGCAGCCTTATCTTCCAGGATGGAATGTATCTGGTTGTTTACATTTCGGACATCTTCAACCAGAGTAGTATAACGCTGAACTAGTGTTAACACGCGGCTGTTCATGCTGTCACCTAAATTCACATTGGCTTCGCAAAGAATATAAAACAAACACTGAAACAGTTAGTAGTTCAAACGCTGAATGGCAAAATGCCACAAACGGTAGAGAACAGCGGGGAGAGCTGTCAATTCACTTTCTAGTTTCACAGCGAAATTTAAAAGAAAAAACTGTTTACTTAGCTGAAATTCGCATGCTCGAGGAAATGAATGATGCGAAAGCGAAAGTATCAACAAAGGCTGTTCAGAGGCAGCAGAAATTATAATCCCATTACATACAAGGTAACGCTTTCGAGGAGACAAACCTAGGCAAAAAATATACTACGCTTTTTGTTTTGCGAAGGAACACAAGCGCCACCGGCTTGTGGCAGTAAGTATCGCCTTGTTTTATGTAGTTAAACGACAGAAGATGCATCGATTCACTGCAGGTATTTGAGTTTTCTTTAACTATGGGCTGGTGAAATTGATCCCTAAATATCTAGGAGGAAGAAAGTGGTCAGAAAACACCGTAGAACATCTGAATGAACGGCAAGTAAGATATTTTAGGAATACGTACTGGGTACAATACATTCGATACATTCTGCAAGCGCTTATAAGCAGTGCTAAAACACTAAAAAAAACCATTTTTGAAGAGCGAAGTACTACTGCAAATATGGTAGGCATGTTAAACTCTGCAGGCGATAAAATACCATGGAACTACAACGTACTTCAGTACCCCGATCGTAACTGCCGCTCACATGCATCTAGGAGCAGGCAGTCGCAGCGTGGAAACAGGCTGAAACGATTTTACGGCGGAAAACTGCTCTTCAAAAGACCTGCGTTTTGTGAACCAGATTTCGAACAGCTCATCAAGAACGACGTGAATTACTAAAACAAACAAAAAAACTTACTCAACGAATTCATGATCTTCTCCAGTTCAGTTTTGGCTTCAGTTAACGGAGCTAAACCATCTTGCGCTAAGCGACCAAGAGTCTGGACCTTTAGTCTCATGCCGGAAAGGTATTCATCCGCTTTCGTAGATGTCTTAAAAATTCACAGCTATTAAACAAACATGTGCCATGAAAAGTCAAGGACACTGCTAACTATGTAGTTATCTAAGTCTTGAAAAGCGGAAGGATGCGGAAAGCAAGCGGGAGAAGTAAGCGGCGACATACGCCTTTACTTTCCTAACAAAATGCGACATAAGCGTACAAAACGACGCCAGATCTACGGGGAAAATCAGCCATGAGTAAAAGTCTTTGAAGCTAGCTCAAACGAGCCCAACAAACTTCATTGCGGATTTGACGTCGTTTAGTACGCTAATGCTGCATGCTGTCAGTTTCACAATAACTAAAAATAAGGCGACGAGAGTTGAGGCCTCATGACCTGAAGATCTCCTAAAATTTATGGCGACTACGCATCGTACACACCGGGCTAGCTGGTTACTTTTCTTGATCCGAACATCAAACGATTTTATTGTTCCATATGAAATTTGCGTTTAAATTTGCTTCATGAAGTTCCATTTAATAAGCTATATGCAAAAAGCATAAAATTGGAGAACGTCTCAAACGCTCATTCATTTGACGACGTAAGAAACGCTGCTCAATGCAAATTTTATGACTGACGAAATAAACCACTGTTCTGTGTCTACGGCTACCAGATGCGAATAGTGGACAAATAGATCATTAGCATAATGATCGCAGTGGATCATACAGCCTGTGCAAAGACAAACTACGACGCAGGACAGCGTGAATAAACGCACCCTTATAAAAGCACTGCTGCGTTGCGGTATCTCACAATCTGAGATTTTCAAACTCAAACTGCTACTGATGAAGCAAGATATAGTACGCAATTCGATTTGTTGGTTAAAAACAACAACGATAACAACAAACAACACTCGACAAAACTCACCTGAGGAGTTTCACTCTGTTCTTGAAACTTCTTCTGAAAGTCGTTCACTTTTTGTCTGAAATCAAGGCCGCACTTAAACGCACGTTTTATACGCCCAGTTAAAATAACCTTATTTTTATCCAGTTATCGTTTAAAGGCTGTATTTTCTTCTCCGCATTGTCCGCTGCATCGATTATGTTTTTTAGCACTGCCTCTGCCGCAGACAGATCGACGGGCAGACTCCTAAAGCGAACAGCAACGAACTTCATGTTTAAAGGGCGCCATAACGATTGCACTGAATTCATCAACAAAGCAAATTAGAAATATTTCCCTAGCCACACTCAACTTTAATTCTTAAATGCGTTCGAAAGAAGCCTAAAACAACCACTCCATCTTTAGAGTAAGAAATCGACAATAATCATCCACCCTATATGCAATCCGATCAACGCACAGGCGTCATAAACAGCGAGAGGCGCAAAGAAATCGACACAACATCGCTGACTGCTACGAACAATGTAACAATTGGAGAATTATTCACTCATTTTTTCTAAACGACGTATCGCTTCCTCTAGGCATTTCTTCTACAATTACTTTCAGTACGATATTAAAGAGGTATGGGAAAAGCAAGCAGCCCACTTTGATTCTTATCATGCAAATTCGTTTGACTGCCGTCATAATTTCTGCTTCGAAAACGTCTCTCTTAATTCATTACATCTCTCAAATTTATCCTGACAAAGAAACCTCGCAGATGTTTTCCTCGTTAATTTGACCAATGTCGAGGAAGTTCCTATCAATAGCGTTACCTCCAAGAGACAGTTCTTTTCAAAAAACGTTTGAAATCGACAGAAATGTTGCAAAATCTTTTGCTTGATTTAGCCAACAAGCCCCACTTACTGTGGTAGAGTCAGCCAACACGAAATTATGCCTAACAATTTCTACGGTTCATATCGATATCGTGTCGCAAATGACTTGAAGGTGATTGGCTGTCTGATTCCATGGTTGGCAGCACGAGAAACAGGAAATAAGTTTTATTTACAAGGATTCCAACGTTTCAACCGCATGATGAGGTATAACTGTTGTGTCGAAACATCGGAATTCTTGTAAATCAAACTTATTTTTTGCTTATCGTAGTGCCAACCATGGAATCAGAAGACCTATCACCTTCACGAGATGATGGCAATCACTGAAAATGTAGCATTGCTAGATTTTCAACGATACGCCATTATTAACGCTGCTTGACAGTGCTACGTGGGTGTCCGTCAGCTTTTGCAAACAACAGCTGTTCTCCGGCCGATACAGCAAAGTAGGCATGGTTGCAGAGTTGAATCTAGAGGGACTGAGCTTTTCATCGATAAGATTTTCCAGAACTCAAGTTGAAAGTATTAAAAACGAATACTCTCCTCCAGTTTAAGCCCGGATTACAATCAGTGTCGCTTGAAAAAGTAACTTGAGGATCAGTTTAGTCACTGTCACCGGGAAAGACGAAGCCATTCGTCCAGATTAAGTCAATACAGTAATCGAGCTTCTCGATTAATTCTTAATTCATCTTCCTCGCCTTCAGGTTTTTAATTCAGCCTCTGTTACAGGATCAGGCATACAATGCCGCTCAAGCGTATTCAAAAACGTGACCAATTCGTACGCTAATGAGCAAAGCGAAGAAAGTGCGAACTTCTCAGATGCCGTTCCAGATATTCAACCGAAGGTATTAGTAGTTATGAAGAACCACGACAATTTAGGCCTGTTCAGTCTTGGAAACAAGCTTAGCGTGAATCTTAGGCATGCCAACTCAAGAGGCCAGAGAAGTTCAGCTGCCGGAAACAAATTTACCATTTTTCACATAACATCTCGTTTTTATTCTTTTATCATTCACTTTGTCATTGTCGTCTAAATATTGCTTGTATCAGTTTCTCTTCAAACATAATTTTGATGGTCTGTATGTAGAAGCCAAAATTTGTCTTGATTACTTAATACGGTCAATTTAAAAATGTCATGTCAAATTCAGTTCGTTGTTATTTTCCTTTAATTTACTGTCCTTCATCGTTAGAATATTAGATTAGAGGCAACAGACGATCAAAACAATTCACCCTTGCACACTAAACACGAGCAAAATAAAAAACGGTAAGACCAACCGCAGTTCTTTGTTTTCTTTCGCGCTCGACGGCAAAGTTTTGACTGATTCATCGCCTGGCGCCAGCTCGCCGTAGCGGGCCTTTGACGACGCTACGCGATCTGATTCGCCAGCCAAGCTATCCAATTGTTGTTGAAGTTCAGCAACCTACAGAAACGGCAATTACATGACGACCAATCAGCAAAAGCGATGGGGCGTGCACCTTTCTTCTCTCGGCGCAGAGGCGCTTTTCCAGCTCACATTTGCTATCCCCTAAAGTCTTGTACTGCTGTTCCAAAAGCTCTAGCTTTCGTACCTTCGCTAACTGAACCTGCACATCAGCGTTAATTTTGGCGGCATCCTATTCGAAAGAAGGGGAATAAAACAAGTTCTTTAAAAAGATCATGCAAATAAAGCAATACAACAAAACAAAGCAACCGAGAGTCTCATATGGTCATACGTCACTAACAAGAAACACAAAAGAAGGCGCGCAACAAAAAGCGCTTGGCACTGGTTTTCAGCGTTTTGATGAAAATGGTATTAGTCGAAACGGATCATGCATTCGTGAAAGCGCAGCTGCCCTTTACGTAAGAACCTTATGAGAGCCATTTGAACAAATTTTGGCAGGAGCTGTTCACCCCGATACGATCAACAACGCAGCTAACCGCAGATTAATTCGCCTTATTACAATACTGCGGTGTACAGACTGGCACAGTCACCGAATAATTTATGAACATGTTCACGACAACACTCAAAGATAAGAACATCTTTTCGTTAAGCTAGAATGCCATAAAAACAAGGGGACTCAGGGAACGACTAGCGATTCCGGTCCGTTATTATTATATGTTGTTCGATCAGTAAAGTCGGACAGAGAACGCAAAGGTGCCGGCTCGAGCCTCGGTCGGGTCACTCATCTTTGTTCCTCCCAAGGTAGATAAATGAGTATCATTTCGTGGGAAGAAAACAGAAGACTAAACGCTACAGAGGGCCATTACTCTGCCTTCAAAAATGTAAGGCAATTACGGCTGATGACATGAAAAATGAGATCAGCACCTGATCGCTAACCTAATGAAAAGAAGGGCGTTAGGAATGGCACCATTGTGAAAGTATACATCGATACTTCAACAGTTAAAAACTTCCATTTTCCAAGTATACAGACAGCTTTAGATATAGTGTAGATGAGGAGATACCCTATAAACTGAAATACAACGCTGAAAAGGTCGACCGATTCGCAATATGTCAGAAACAGTGAGTCTGACGAAACTTAAAAAGTAATCATTTGCTACGTGTCACAGCGCTTATATCAGCAGAACACAAAGCGCGAAACCTGTAACAATATACAATACCGTACTATAAAGTGACAGCTGTACAAAATAAAAAGTTAACGAATGCCGTGAACTGAACAATAAATGCTTAAAACGCACCGAAAAATAACAAACAAATCATAGAAGCTCAATGTGGCTATGAGATGTTATGTTTGTTTAAGTGCTTAGCGACTCAGCATTGACTATCTTGTACAGCCCTTGGCGGATAACTTGGCTTGGTAAATTAATGAGTTAAGAAAGTTCGGCAACAGGCAAGGTGCGTCGTTCCGAGCCTACTTGACTTGAATCTAGTGATGCATTAAAACATTAAGAAAAATTGCCAAACAAAAGCCACTGACTGCTAAAAAAACGATGGCAGGGTCATTTCAGATTGACAGAACAAGCCCTGTGGAAAAAACGTTTTAGCTAGCATCACGCAAAACATGCATTCATCCAGCGCAACGTGCATATCGAATTGGTTGAAAATGTGGGAAACATTTCAACTAGTTTAGTTAATTAAATGTCACCTCGACACGAGCGTTAAGATGACTCGTCACGGTATTGAGTTCTCTCTTCAAAATGAAGATATCAGCCTGCAATCGTGCGATTTGACTTTTCTGTAATATACCAACGTCCATTTCTTGGAAAAAGGCGTCACTGTGCATTTTGAAATGATCTGTTTGCAAAGTATCCACAATCTGCAAATAACTAAAAATAGAAAACGAAAGAAATCTAACACAGTGCTATAACCTTTGTCACAGAACGGTGGATCTTGTCGTGCAAAGACATAAACACTTTTGGGTCCACCGTTTGGTGCGTTTCACCGGCAGATGCGAAGTCTTTTAAAAATTTTTGGAGCGAATTCATATCACGCAGAGTCTATACGCAAATCTTCATCAGTACTCTAACACAGCGCAGAAATCTTACTTCATGTACGTCGCTGTAGAGACGGTCGTTTTTTATTTGCATTGACGCAATGTTACGTTCTTCTTTCTCTGATTTTTTTAACAGGTGCGATTCCCTGATCGTCCAAGTCTCCTAAAAACATTTGAGCGCGGTCAAAACTGGCATTTCAAAACTAATCACTAACGCACTCGTCGCAAAGTCACACGAAAGTGGCTCATGGGTAGATCAAAGGCCAGATGACTCAAACGTACTGAATCCAAAGTAACGCGTAGCCGTTAAATGTAACTCAAGACTACGTCGATTGACGGAGCGGAGCACGAGAAGCATTATCCACATATTCTGTAACTAAGAGACGGCAAAAATGGACAAAAACCCAGATGCTGGCCATCTTGTAACTTCTTACTGCATTAAGCTCATCGATATTTCGAAACCAAGCTTGCACATTAAGCTATGACTGAGAGGTTAGGCAGTGTGCTTAATAGTAGTGCATAGTGTGGCGTAATGCACTTAACAATGATAGTATCTATCTACTATGTTTCAATAAGGTCACTAAGTCATCAGGTGTTGTGATAACATTTGAAGGCAGCCTTACCAATAGTTAAATAGCGGCAGTGATCAGTTTAGATTTGCGCCATAACACGCTCGCGGCGGTACCTTTGTAAGGTTAAGTGCTTATTTCGCCAGGACATCCAGGGAGCGTTCATCGACACACAACATATGGACGAGCTCGGCGGCATCTGACAATCGCCGACTCTAAGAAGTTTTCCAAAGATGAACAAGAAATCGATTTCATCCCAAATACAAAAAACCATTTGTTTCGATTTTTGTTTGACGTTATACGCCAGGTCAGGATTTTGCGTGACAAGTCAATAGTAATTATGCCGCTCACGTTTCGGAAATGTCTGACGCACTTCAACGCCTCATGCCATTTTCGACGAAGCTTAACAATTTTTCTTAAGCCTGGCATTCTATGATACATAATCAGGCAATGCATAACGTTTTTCGCTTATATATATATGCACATACACGTCCGGTCACAAAGCAAGTAGTAAGAATTCAGCTATGAGTACCTACTGTTGAAGTAGCTGATGAAAGTCTGTAAGTTCGTCAATCGAAATTTTGTTTGGAACAGTAAAATCCTATCACGCTTTTCTTCATCATATGACGCCGCGAAGTAATGATCAGTTTCTGAGAACGGTTTCCATGATCTGAGTCCTTAGTGTTGCAAGTCTTCATGGACTTGGAGGCCTTCCTTACCTGGTAACAACTTTACAACAAAACGGATTTCTGCCAAGAGGGAATTCGAATGAACAGATAGCCAGGGTTGAGAAGTGAAGGATATAGCTTCTATGGTGATTCTCAAGGTAATGCCAACGATAACTTCAACCGGCCTTGCGTGAAAGCTCTGATTCGGATATTCACTTAGAGCTGTATGAGATATGCTAGTTACGGAATGTAGCGTTAGCCTCATCAACCTGTTCAGAAGAGGTGGGCATGATGTTTGAGACATCTCGATATCTACATCAGAGAAGTAATTTGCATCGATTATCTCGAGCTATCTGCATAAGCAAAACAGCATCTACAGCCAGCGATGCCCCTAAATTTTCAGATTTCTAACAGTATTGATACTCGACATTAGTTGCAGCACTGTAGAAGGAACAGTTTACCTCTGAAAGCAGATCTACTGCCAATTTGTTCACCTTCGTCGAACGTTCAGCTAACAACCGATGTCTGCCGTGCATCGAATCCCACATGACAAGTTCGCTAAATTGAGTAAAGCTTGTCTAAGAGGGCAAACCATGTTTTCCTAACCTTATATAACTGATGACACCGGAACAAAGAAGCAAAAAGCCATTCCATATAAGGACCTGAGATTTAAAACTGCGTCCAAATCAACTTTACTGTGGCCATTTAACCATTGCACCGTTCTTGATCCGTCGTAAAGTTGACAGCCTCAACAACGTACTGCAATACTGAGCGCTAAGATAGGACTAACTTTTATAGAACTCGTAACAAAGGGATATTCGTGTCATACGAAAAATATAGAGCAATTCAAGTACGCTACGTGTGTAACTCCGGCTAAATGTCTGTCGTTGGAGACAACAAAACTAAAGCAACAGAACTGGTCAATCTCGTTCACCTGTCATCTACGTGCTGCCCGTAGCCCCTTCAAATTATAAACGAATGAGGTGAACCCGCAAAAGCTCAGTTTTCAAGGTTACAGTGACACGCTTACCGTAAAAGGTCATTGCCCTCACATACACGCACGCACACAAGAACGGATATTATTGGCTTTCAACCTTTAAACAAAACACGGCAAAAACGTTTCATCGCCCCATCGACTATTTGGATGAAGGGCGATGACAGCGTGTGCAAAACCGAGGGAAGATTCTACAAGTGTGACAACGAACGATAACAGACAAACTAAAAAATAACAATTGTCGCATCAGTCGGTTCGGCAAGATCCGGAAACCTCGTGTCGCAATGTTGCCCAAGCGTGTATGTGTCGCAAGGCTAGGTCACTCTAAGTCACTTGAACAAACATCCCATCCGTCACTCTCACATGACGTGCAATAATTACGATAAGCATAAACGATCTGCCAATGAATTTTGACACTGTTAAGTGTTCCAGAATAAATCTGAGAATGAATGATGTTGAGAAAAATTCCGAAAGAACAGCACTGAAAGGATCGTCTAAACTAAAGCTGTGGTATGCATTTTCGGACATTTACACTTAAATCGAAGGGCTCCCCAAGTAAGTCAAATGGAATTAAGCGAAGCGGTAAAGCCGAAATACTAAAAGTCTGCGTTCACGAGCCAGGGAGTGAACATACGATCAGTGACGTTTCAGCGTAAATTGTATGCGCGCAAACCGCTGGTTTCTGTTATTATTCAGCACTGCGGTCACCGATTTAAATCAGTAATTTGATCTGATGATGGCCATCTGCATCAACTGTTTACTTTAGCCGATTATGTTATATATCAGTGGATCGTTGAAGTACTGTACTCACAGGCAATACGAAGGTTGAAATCAAGTAACTGATACAGACTGATACAAACAAGCGACAGCAAATAATTCATGCTGACCTCATGTCCTCACACAGTCATAACAGTGGAACTGTAATCAAAAATTCACAAGTGCCAACAGCATCGTACTTCAATCAGAATGACCGTCCCATTGATATGTAACATGATGGGCTAAATCGATGATAGCTGAGACAGATGACCATAGTCCAGTCATACAGATTCAAAGCGGTGGCCGTAGCACCGATCGTTGACAGCAACCGCGGGTGCGTTCAAACGTCTCGTGCTGCTGTAAACAGACATTCCAGTTGGCCCAGCGATTGCAGTAGCACGCGTGTTATATAAGTTTGGACAATAACACAATGCTGTAGCGAAATCGTTCGTTGTGACAATCGTTATACAGGTGCTGAAAAATAGTGGAAAGAATGCGATCCAAGATACGAGTGACAAAAACTGAGGTTCTTTTGGTAGTGAGAGGAAACTGCGCAGAGACAAAACATTACGCAACACTCGTCACTATTTTTTGAAATCAAGATGTGCTAACTGTCATTGACATGCTCATGCTGTCAGAATACAGAAAGCGAAACTCTCATAAGTGCCCATAAGGCGATTAACGGTAAGAGGGCAGTGACATTTAGTAGTTATAAAAAGTTCATTCAATGGAGTATGAGATTACTGGTCAATACACAAAAGAAATGTCTTACTGACACGAAGGCTGGAATTTGTCACCGCCAAAACGTAGCTGCACGTTAAACAATGCCGCAATAAACTTAGTTCTTACCTTTTCCGCAGCAAAAGAGCCCTGTTGTCGCACGGCCTCAACAGACATCTTCAGGTTTTCTTCTGAAACCTTATTCAGGTTATTTGTCAGGTCACTGCACTCGGCTTCCAACCGCTTCACCATATCTTCAAGAAGAGAGCTTCCGTGCTCAGCCTAAAATGTAACAAATTTCGGGTTGATGGACGACAAGCAAATTTTGGGTTCAAACCACAACAAGACGAGTCTGTAAGTCGCTTATAGTTGTAGTTAAAGAATCGAACTTCGCCTTCTCAAAATCGCGTGCATCTTGCAAAGCTTTCTCACTTAACCGCAGTTTTTCAGTCAGCTGTTTGATTTCGTTCATAGATAATTCTAGTTTGTAGCGAGTCTGATCAACCACGTGTTCTTTTTCAGTGATTTGTTTCGTCAAACCGACAATTTGATGGTCCCTTTCCTTCAACTGCGCGCTGAATGCCTCGCGCAGCGTTTTTAGCTCGACGGACGAATTCTGAAAAAAAACGACGTCGCATGCAATGACGGCGAATTATATTCATAGAAACTAACAATCTGATCGTCCGTAGACGCAGCCTCCAGGACAGCTACCTGAGACGTGTAGGTTTCCATTTGTCCAAGGGTTGTCGACAGCTTCATTTCAACACCTAAAAGTGAGGCACATAAACAATAATACATAACAATCTCGAATCTTTCTATCTAAAGCTTATCGATGCGCAGCAATTGACGGTAAGAGCAATTATTCAAGCACTGTGACTGTCTAACTGAGGAAATCAGTGAATGTCCGGGAGAACATGTTCCAACCGGTCCTGACTGATTTTTTTCAGCTCACCAGTTCGTTACACGACTACGAGAGATCAGGGACAAGTTAAGGTGGCTAACAAAAAGGCCAATCAAGTGAAAACAGGCTCGAATGACTAAGTATTATATTGAGAAAAACACTAAATAAATAAGATTCCGCCCACAATCCGAAATAAAAGCCATTACAGTATGTCACTGTTGCATGCAACTCTTAAGATCCATCTATTTGTCATTGCATGAAAACGGAAAATAACGACCAACATAAGATAACCTGCACTCTTTTCCGCTGACAAAACGGGCTGCGTTTCTGAAAACTCGATATCAACATGCATCCGTGGCGACGATTCTTCGATCGGCTGGGTCATCACATCTAAAAAAATATCGGTTTCGCTTGTAATAATAAAATAAGTTAAGCTATCTAAACTTTAGATCACTCGAATCATCATGACATTAGCATCTTAAAAATAAAAATTCATGGCAAATTATTGCTCAGAATATTTCTAACGAAAAGGCATGAATAATGAGATGTCTTTGTTTCCACTGACCAACAGATAATGGCAAAGTTATAAAGATACAATCCAAAACGCTGCTGCTCGTTTAGAAGTAAGCAGATCCAAAGTTTCAAAGTACGAGAAGCGTTTGAACAGCACATAATTGCGTCAACTATTTATTCTCCAAAAGATGCGACGAGGACTTTCAGATCATACTCATAGCAACACAACGTCGATAATCTAGTGAATAAACAACCGAAGTACCACAAATTCAAACTATTTATAATTCATTAATTTAAGTTATTCATATAACTTATGACTTTAACTCACCATGCTTACGATTTATGAATATGCCCAGTTTCGCACACACCATCGCCTATGTAATAACGATTCTCTGAATTTGAAAAGGATGAGTAGCTGTCGCCGGTAAGGCATCAGTATGATAACTGACAAAAAATCGACTAAATAATAAACGAACAAACACAAGTGCTGCAATGAAGTAAATGTCAAAATTTTGCAGTGAATAGGCACTTTTTATAAGAATAAATATGGCAACCAATGACTTCTTTAAGAGCAGTTTTAACGCATAATGCACCGCCCACTTGCTACTAGTTACCCATGGGGCCAGTTAAGCAGATCATGGCTCTAGCGGAAAAAAGATGCGAAATGCATCTTTCACAGGGGATGCTCAAATACCCTAGAGCCGTCAGCTGCATAAATGACGCTTCTAGGCAACTAGGAGCAAGGGGGCAATGTAATACACCGTTAAATCTGGTCTTGGAGGATTTATTCGATATTGTCATAATCATGCGTACGAACAACTTCCTGCATATACGTATACGATTCCTGAGGTCTCTTTGGAGGATTCACAGGACTGAGTTTCTCGGTCCTTAAAACCAGAATGTGGCTGTTCAAAAAACATGAAATGTCTGTGACCGCATTCAAACAGCGAATAGGTATACTTTCACAGAAAACAGCGTACGTGCTTCGAGCTTTAGACTACTGCGAAACCAATAAGGAACCGGAGCCCAAAAATACATGGCA